TTTAAAACGATGATAGTTAGGTGTGCTTTGCGTATTCTCCTTTTACAGTACAGATTTCGTGGCGGGTGGAAGATATATGGAGTCTTAACGCCAGTGGTTCGATCACCACTTCCCAGAGAAATTAAGTATAATCAGTAGCTTTGGGATGAAGATCGAGTCGCCTGACTCAACGTGTAAGGGATGGACTCGTATATTTATGCTCTCACGACTGCATTACGGAAGAAGTTGGTCGTAGTGCCATTTCACGAGAGACAGCAATGATCAGATAAACTTCAATCGTCTTGATTTTACGTTTCTGTCATTTAAAGTTCCCGAATGTTTTTAGAGTGCTTATACGGTCAACTGAGACAAATCAACCGATACGGTTAAGACGTATATCGAGTGGTCTCAAAGATTAAAATAAAATGCCTTCAATTAAAGTAATGCTATGATGCTTAAATTAGTCTTTGTGGTAGGTTTAGTTACAGAAAAATTGAGAGCGGACACGAGTGGCAGGCCGGTTCAATGCAGAGACATTTGTCTCTATCTTGAAATTTTGCCACTATTCGAATGCTTTGGTGCCAAACTGGCGATGTCCGATTCATTATTAGATCGACAAGTACCCAAAATAGTCGTCAGAAAGAATTTGCAACGTTTGTAGCAGTAGTTACTGAATCAATGACAGATGCGGACCGGTAGGGTGCACCGAGTGGAAGCCCGGAGTAGCGTTTCCCTACTAAATTATTGCCCGGTCAGTGCTCGGAATTGATGAGTCCATTGTGTAAGCATGAGTTGGTCCGCCATCCGTAGGCATTATTCGTACAATCCTTGAAACTGTCTCTTGCGGGGCGTCCGCCTTTTGCATTACTGGGGATTCGATCGGCTCGCTATCCCCAACAACTGTGATGCATGTCGCAGTCCTCTGGCCTGTTACGCTGTACTCAAATTCCGCTGACTTTATAATTATATAACATGCACCTCAACCAGAACGTAAGGCTGACAGTGGATTTTTCTTTCCCAAACTGTTGTCGTGACCAAGAGGATCTGCTAAAGTTGCCGATGCGCTTCACGCACGCAACACACTTAGTACCACTTCAGTGTCTTCAAGGAATACTACATCCAAATTTAAGCTAATTTATTTTTAGATCCAATGACCACCCTATGGCAATAGGCGCCAGCCGGTTAAGCCCACACAAGTTCATCAAAATACATTTCTCCTACCGATCATACAACGATGAGACAGACTTTAAGCCTCCCGTACAACCATATCACCAGCAACTTTATTGAAGTGTTCATAGCTGATTTATGCGATCACTCCGTGACATAACAGCCGATTAACGTCTGCAGCAGATATATGGCTTCGTTTCGTAAACTTACACCTCAATAAGGTCCGTTCATTGTCATTTTCATGAATGCTATGTTTATTGACAACTGCTCATGCCACATCCGATAGTACGTGTGACATTTGATGCGGTATTACATAACTCAACCAATTAACCGCATGTGTGGCAACCTACTTTAAGCGCATTGAAAAGGTTATACCGTAAGCATCATCATCGCACCATAAGGTAAGTCACCACTATAGCCAGCTTTACTCGATTTTTAATGCAGTTTATCACGCCCACTACTTTTTGATGGTTCGACTCTTTATCAACAACAGGTCCGGCATTTAGTATCCGGTGTCACAATCACTTCCATTAAACGTGCCGTTCCATCCACAGTTGACGATTTGTGCTCGCGCCAACTCTATTCTTTGACCTCTCCGAAGTCTGATGAGTTTAATTTCTGAAATCTACAACAAAAGGAATTAAATTTTTAGTTGATCGCACCATTAGCACTTTGTTTTCTTGCACAGTCGGGCTCATGGTTCTCCATAGCTTCGCTGGGATCAGTGCGCTGGAACTAAGGCAAAACGCATCCACTCAATCCATACATGCAAGGTTCTGGACATAATACACAAGATTGATACCTTATCTCGGGTCAGAGTAGAAAACTAGACAGCGTTCATCACTACCGAATTTCGAACGGTACCATCTACTTCATCAAGACTTTTGGAGCAATGACACGTGTTATCGTGTTGTTCATGCGGTGATGAAATTACTATCTTGCGCTATGTGTCATCAATAAACGAGTGACTTTTTATACACGAATATCGTCAAGCGTAACTGCCGGACGGCCCGGAATCGATAAAATTGACTGTTTATAATAAACGATTTTTCGTCTCTGTCGAGACTAGGTAGCCTTACTTGACAAACGTTCTGCATTACGGAAGATCTAACATTCTGGAATTTGTGCAGTTTAACTATCAGAGGATAGATATGTTCTAGTTCCCTGACAGCATTGAGCCTCACGCCGACTAGATGTCAGATTCTTTCTGTGTCGTACCAGACATTTATCGTGCTAAGGCAATTTGGATCGATGAAGTTAACGCGGCTTGTACAATCGAAAAATGTGAGGGCAAACCACCTGACATGCTTTGGCGTTCAATATTCCTAATGCGATCGAATGGCTAGTCCTCAATTGACCCCAGGTGGCAAGTCAGCTGCACAAAAGCATTGCTATTATTCCTCCTCTGTAATCATAATTGATGTGCAAATAGACTGACGGCTCCGTACGACTTGCCGTGTGGGATTGACGTGCAACATTTCAAACAACAATCATTTATGTTAATGACCTCGTTGTGATACCAGATACGCTACAGAGGTGTTCAGTGACAACTGCTTGATCGCAACATCCGCTCCATCCCCGAAAAGTTCTGGACGCAGTCAGATGATCGGTGGACATTTTGTTCCAGTGGCCCTTTAAAGATTAAAGCTATTATATTGCGTACTCAACGTGGCTGATACCCATCAATTTATTGAGTGCAACGAAAGTGCACAAAGACGTTTTATTGTACCCATTAAATCGGACATCAGCAGACCACATTCGACCTCAGTGTCCAACACTACTTCTACGACTCTTTATCTGTTAAGGAGGCTCGAAAGACTTTGGTCAAGGCATTGCTCGTACCAAAACCTTTCAAAAATGATTGGTCATACATTCCACTTCATGAGAGTATCACTAAACATAGTAGCCAATAGATTTCTTGAGTCTTGTAAATTACCCTACATATATTTCTTGCGCTTGCTAGATGCTAAGTAGCGTGACGTTACGTGAAATACCAAATAGGCGGTGTTAACACACACTCGAAAACTGTAGCTTCAGCATAAATCGTGTACGGAAGCAAAGTCTACTGACGAAACGAACATCAGCCAGAATTACAGTTCTACCATCAAGCTAATAGATCACCAGCCCGGAACGCTAGTACTCCTATTGAAGCTTTGCTAATGTCATGGCTGTGTCACCATCTCGCATCTAAAGTCAACATTCTTTTTCCGTTTACGTTTCCACGTATACAATGATCAGTCGAATCTGAAAGCACTCATCGCATTTAGTTCTTGTTTACGTTTACGTTTTCACGTATACAATGATCAGTCATATCTGAAAGCACTCGTCATATAAGGAGTAAGCACAGACGAACAGGTCGTTCATGCACATGCTCGACCACAGTTGTCCCATACTGAATGAATGCTTCAATAATTTTCAAATCACGCCTGAGCCTTGCGATGCAAAAAGAGTGACGTGTCGCACGCCAGCGAGCAACGCGGTATGCACATGAGCGCCTCACGTTAAGCATTGAGAAGAGAAAGTTGAATTGTCATTGCAGATAGATAGTGTAAAGACCCAGCTGCAGTGTTAACGAGTAATTCCAAGTGCATCAGGGGCTGCTGCTGCCCTTATGTTCGATTAAAACACGTACCCAAAAGAGCTAATAGTGTAACGGGGTGAATCGTTACGTAACAATTTATTAGAAATTGTTAATAGAATATAACTAAAAGAGTTATATTCTCAGAATATTGTCACAAGGACAAATATTCTGTAGCACTTACGAGTAGTTCCTAATTGGTTGATATAGACCATTCTATCAACCAACGAAGACGCGCCACGACGGACGCACGCAATGAGTGGTGAGCAGATAGTTGGTATGCACATTTGTATTCAAGCATAGTTAGATGAGGATAAACAGTGGTTTATTAACAGACATTAACTATGATAAATACAGTTCTACTTTTTACTTAAACCAAGTACTCGCTTCTTCTTACCGTCTTCCTCTGCACGTACGAGTGTACGTGAAGTTCCGAGGCACCGCCTTATTCTGTTATCAGAATAAGTAGCTTGTACTGTCACCAGTACAAGCTTCAGGGTGCCCCGTTACAAATAGGCTCCCGATACGATCGATTCTTACAGTCTTAGAGCATCAACCGGCGGCTGGTTTCGCGATCAAAAGTACACCTTACAAGGCGTATACTCTGACCGATCCCAACGGTTGATGCCTTTGTTGTGTATATCTCATGATAAAAACACTCGCCCGTGCGCTACTATGCAAGGATTACTCATCTAGATTACTTAAGCCAATCCGCGTATCATCGTGATGGCTGAAGAACAACCAAATACTACTCCCTCTATTTCATCGTCTTTGTCCCAAATTAAGCAATTTTCAAACGAAGCTGCAATGGCCGGATTGCAACATTGCATTGACAAGTCGTATTTTTGCTCGTACAGACCTCCCAAGTTTAGGCAGGAACGCTGTTACAAATTCCGTACCTCTAATTCGTTCGCGCGAAGGACTAGCTTTTATAACAACAGATGTGGCGTGAATGATGTACCGTTGCTATAGTTGGGACGATCGCAGCGGTGAGCGGCATACCAACGCTACTGGACGCTAAGGGTATTATGCATTTTTCTTGGGTGATACTAGCTTCTCAATTCGAGGCACCATGCTTTTTGTGGCTCTTACCCCACCAAAACCAACTGTGCTTCAATTACTGTCTAGTTTCTGCAAAAGTACGCTTCCTTTATCCGTACAGGCATCTTAGCTATGGTAGATAGTAAGAAGTGGAAAGCACCACGTAAAAAATTAACATCACTGCTGCTTTGTTTCTCTCGTAGTACTAACTGACGCTGCTGTATTCACTGCCTGTTCATCTGTCAGTCGAAAAATCGTTTGGGAATGAGAACGGCACCGACTGCGCAAACGAGCTAATCGTCTTAGAATGCGCACGTCGCTTTTCTGGGGAGTCCAGCGCTCCTCGAAAATAAGGCGGTGGTAGCATCGCCGTGGGCGTGACAAGCGACACCGTTCCATGCCATGGCGACACTTGAAAGTTTCCTCTCAGCACGTTCATCTTGGTTATCGACAGTTTGAAGCCATTTGTTGCCATCTTCTCCAACTCGTCAGGAGATGACAACGATCGCACTGTCGCTGGCGTTTTTGAATGGACTGTAGACTGTGACATGTTAGACAATGGCGTAAGAATCACATCTTCCAACGATACGAAGCAGGTCGAACTCAATGGACTCGAAACTGCACCAAGCGACCGACTTCGCTGCAACGGACTACTAAATGTCTAATTGCCTTCCAACGAGCACAGATCTTGCAGCGCGTGCTCTGGCATCAAAAGATCGTTCTGCTTGTTTGTATTAACTGGCTCTAGAAGCACGTGTGTCGTTTCCGCGTCTGCAGAAGGGTGCTTCTCAGCCACCACTGTTTGTCTTCTCTCCAGCACAATAGCACGAACATCATTAGCCGCGGTCGTAGACCCTCGTCCGTCCGTCCGTCATTTTGATGTCCTGATACTGAACCTGGTTTACCCCAGCTTCTTATCCGAATCCAAAGCCTTGTAATCTCTTCCTTGACCCAAAAGTTTGTTGCAACACTTTTTTCTGATCTCTCGCTGCCGCAATGGCTACAGCAACTTGTTGTGACTGCGTTTGCACTCGATCTGCTGTTATGGCAAAGGTCCGACATTGACACCGTTGCCCTGGCGTTAAGTCATGATCGTGGTCGTGCAAAAGTGCTTCTTTTGTGCCACACAATAGATTCTGTTCGCTATCCTTCTGCACATCGTCACCCAGCGCAGTTGTATAAATTTAACAGCGTCAGATAAAACAAACCACAAATAAAGATGAATCTTCCTTTTTTCTCAAGCCAAAAAAATTGAGTGGGCAGTCGACCTCGACTGACAAATAGATAGATAAATATAGTGGTACGTGTATACGGACCAAAATAAATGACTGATCACTATACAAATGATCGCATTTTACGTACCAGGATAAAATCCGGAGCCAAACGAGACATCGCCCGAGTCGCTACTAAACGTGTCGGTGTTCAACTCGACGTTTAGTGCCACATCGTTGCGTTTCAGCGGCAGTTGCAGCGCATGTCGCATGTTTTCAGAAGCTGTAGCCCATATGTTGCCAATTGGCTCGATACCATCAAATTTAACGTCGTCAATAGCGTTCACTAGCTGTATTCCCACGAGTAGAGCTGCCATCGTCACTGACTTGAGGGAGTCCCGTGGACAAGCGTTACTTTTCACTACAAGCTATAAAAACAAAGAGTACGATAAATATGACTAACCATTAGCTGAAATAATTGAGAATTCATGGGAAGAAGTGCGTGACATACTGTGCTTTCTCTGTACTACCTTCAAGCAGTCATGCGACTTCGGTATCGGACGAGTGAACCGGTATGTCTACTCGCACCACACAAATGAAGCAGGCGTCTCATGTAAACGGTTTCGATGACGATCGACACGAGGCAAAAAAAAACGTGTTTACACTCAACATTCAGGTCGTCTATTCAGACTAATTTTGTGGCACGTCCCAAACCATTCAGAAAAAGAGCGACACAGCATGGACACCCCTGCACCTTACAGCATCCCTTACAGCGTGTATACCGAAATGGTCTGCTGCAACGTGTAGGTCTGGCCCGCAGGCAGAATTTGCAGCTCGCTCACACGTCCCGGCTCAATCGCCACCATGTGCTTGTATTCTTCGTCCCCAAAGTCCTTCATCTCCTTGGCACGCTCTTTCCACGGGTTCCACACGACACAGTCCGTCTCGGTTTTGACGCCGTTCTGACAGGTGTCTGAGTCCAGGTTTATGCCTGCTTTCACCCGAGGTTTCGCCTCCTGAATGGTCGCGCCACTGATACAACCCGCTTTTTCGACCGTGACCGTGCGGTCAATAGCGTTGACGCCCTTAATCGTGGCAGATATGAGGTCTGGTGCGTTTCGGTAGACGTTGTCCGTCTGTGCCGCAAAGTCAATGAACTCCCGGGTCTCGGTCTTGTTCGTCTTGTCCACCTTGTCAAAGTAGTCGACGCCCTTGAACCCCTTCACCTGCACGCCCTTGTTGCGGGCATCGTCCACCCACAGGTAGTTGTGCAGCAGTGCGTGGAAGTCAATCGCCTCGTCAAACGTGTTGCGCACGTGCAGAGCCGTCTTGAGCTGGTTCGCATACAGCTTCACGACGTACGTGAGCTCAAACTCCACGGGCCAAATGGCACGGGTCGAGTCGCTCGACGCCATTGTGAAAGTGGCTACGCTTGGGCTCTTCTTGTCCTTTGCATCCTCGTGGCTGACCAGGGTCCAGTTGGTGATGCGAGCAAACCCGTGGTTTGGGTACTTGTCCCGACCACCAAAGTTGGGGTAGACGACAGGGATGCCACCGCAAATGGGATCAATACCGTTCAAGAATGACTCGTTCGACATGAACAGGATATCGAGATTGGGATCCATAGCGGCACGGAAAGACTTGACGTGAGCACCAAAGAGGTACACCTCGGCAGTGGAGCCGGACGGGTTCTTAAGCTTCACGGTCTCTAATCCTGCGTTGGCAGAAGCAAGTAGTGTCGCCACTAAAGCCGCAGTCTTACAGAAGAAGGTGTTGGTCATACTACACGAGGGTCGATGTCGAGGATGAGCTTGTTGCGAAGAAAAGACAATTCGGAATGACTGATGATGAGGAGTCCCTTCAGCCGTATCTTTACCGAGTTTCGTGGGGTTGTGGGCTGCAGCATGCGATTGCATCCAGAAGGAAGGCTATGGAGTTGTCGACTACATGGCGACTCTATGTGCAGCTCGACGTCATAGGCTATCGGTGATCGAGCTATAGACGTTTGAGAACGAGACCGTTCGATCGCGCACGTGCACGGAAGCTGGGGAAACACTTGGAGGAAACTCGTGCTGTAGTCAGTGTTACACGCTGCGCAAAAACCACCACAGAGTTTACGACATGCGGTTCAAGTAGTTCCACCGTTAGCTTATCGATAGCCTGGTTTGTTATAAGCACTACGAAGCTGCGATAACCAGGGTATTCAAACACTATAGAATAGGAGGAATAGCAAGTTTTACATCGATGCAAATCGATGGACGGACTTACACACTGTAACGGGGCGAATCGTTACATAACAATTTATAAGAAATTGTTAATAGAATATAACTATAAGAGTTATATTCTCAGAATATTGTCATAAGGACAAATATTCTGTAGCACTTACGAATAGTTCCTAATTGGTTGATATAGGCCATTATATCAACCAACGAAGACGCGCCACGACAGACGCACGCAATGAGTGGTGAGCAGATAATTGATATACACATTTGTATTTAGACATAGTTAGATGAAGATAAATAGTGATTTATTGCAGACATTAACTATACTAAATACAGTTCTACTTTTACTTTAACCAAGTACTCGCTTCTTCTTACCGTCTTCCTCTGCACGTACGAGTGTACGTGAAGTTACGAGGCACCGCCTTATTCTGTCATCAGAATAAGTAGCTTGTACTGTCACCAGTACAAGCTTCAGAGTGCCCCGTTACACCTGGTAGCACTTCGTAGTCCGTCCAAGGACCGCGTTCACATCTAACATGAATATGTTGGATGATGAAGATGACCAAAGCTTTCACGCTACGCGTGACGGCTACCCCCATTTGAGTGATGTCGAATGGGATGCGGTTGAACGGATGGGTTCAACCATGGGCATCCATGCTGTTAGCGTCATGCTAGAGGCTCTCAATAGAGATGCCCAAACATGCTACTATCGCCAAGTTCATTCAAAATGAACTTGACGCAGAACGCGAGAAAGTAGCCTTGCTTCACCAACAAGGTTCTCAACAAGCAGAGTTGTTGAGAGAACAGGGTGCCCAACAGTTTGAACTGTTGAGTCAGCAGCAGGCTGCTGCTGGTGGGTCGATGCACTCGCGTCGACCGGAGACTTTGAAGATTGACATCTCCAAGTATAGGGGAGTCGAAGAGGACTCCCTCTTGAGATGGTTCGTCGAATTGGATGACGCCATAAGGGCGCGTCGCATCGACGACGGGAATATGCAAGTTGCATTTGCCCAGTCAAATCTGGCAGGACGTGCCAAGACTTGGGCACTGGGGCTCAAGTTGCACGACCCATATGCGTTTGGGTCGTTGGAAGTCTTCAAGTCGCGGCTTAGACAAACGTTGAACCACCTAGAGCTGAGTTCAGAGCTCGAACTGAGCTCTCGAAGCTCAAGAAGGGTAAGCGTGATGTGCACGCTTACGCGCAACATATACGACATCTCACGAGTTGTATAAGTTCCAACCCGGTGGATGAACACACGTTGGTTTCGGTGTTCATGCAGGGTCTTGCGGATGGTCCCGTCAACACTCACCTGTTCCGGCTTGAGCTAGATTCACTAGAACAAGCCATTTCCATTGCGGAACAGGAAGACTTCAGTCTGAGACAGGCTCGCGCCAGCTCGACATCATATCGTCAACCGAGACGATATGACAGCGGAGGTCCAGAGCCGATGGAACTCTGTTATGTAGAGAGCGAGAAGGCTCGCTCTACAGACTACAAGAAGTTGCAGAGATGCAACAGATGTCAAAAGACAGGACACTACGCTTACGAGTGTAGTGCCCCTCGTCCAGTGTCTCGCAACACTGGGCGTAGTGACCGTCCACCCATGATAAAGGGGGCAGGGACGCGGGTCCGCTGTTGGTGCAAAGACGCAACAACGGGATGGACCGTCAAAAAACGGGCAGGATCAGTAGGTGCGGAGCACCCTACTGGTCCAGCAACGTCAAGAGAATTTGTAGGCCTCTTGATGAAGGTTGCTCCCGACACACAAACGTTGTGCGTTGCTGCTCTAGGTAATGAGATCTCACTCATTACCTTGAAACTCGAAGTGACGAATAAGTTGTCCCTTCGAGCTCTAGTCGATTGTGGGGCGTCCAACAATTTTGTGCAACGCCAATCGCTAGAAGATGGTCACTTTAAGCTCAGTGAATGTGACACACCTCCTACGAGGATGACGGTACGTCTTGCGACAGGCGCATCCGTAACCGTCATGAAGCGTATAGTGAAGATCCACTATACGCTAGAAGATATCCAATATGAAGATGACTTTATCGTATTGGATTTGGATGACAAATTTGATGTCATCCTTGAAATACTGTGGCTCAGAAGGTACGAACCACGGGTAAACTGGCAACATCGAACAGTAACGATGCCTGCCGCTTGTTCATCAGATGGCCATCTGATGAACGTTTTGGAGCGTCCACAAGCGTGTGGATGTACTACGAGTGAGTGCGATGGCCTCACTTGTGGTACGGTCGTTAGTACGACTGCACAAAACCTTAGTGTACCAAACGGTTACACTTCGGAGCAAAGTTCCGGCGGCTGTGAGGAAACACAGGCTGCGCCGAAGGTCCACCACTCGAATAAGTCGGGTGGACTGGGACAAAGATGTATCCCTAGCGGGGAACATCTAGAAGAGAAACAATCGATCGCTCAGGTTAAGCGAAACGATAATCCTAGATCGACTGGAGAGTCTTTCGTAGAGGATCTCGCTGTGGTTGCGCAACCCCAGCTAGAGGAAGTAAAGGGAATAAGTCCCAAGATTACAAATACGGCGGAAATAAGTTCCCCGAAACCCGCGGGAATAAGTCCCCGGGAAGCCGAAGGAATAAGTCCTTCGAAGCCTGAGGGAATAAGTCCCCAGGAAATGAAAGAGACATTGAATGTCCTAGTCAATGACGGATCAAGTGTAGGCGCTTATACACTTGATCTGATTACGCCTCCGAAGTTAACTTCGGAGATCACTCAGTTGCCAACGCTCGAACATAAAAGGTTCTTGCGTGATCTGCGTAGTGGCAAAGTCAAGCAGATCTGCGTACTCGTCGCTGACGACGAGTTTGTAGCCGACATAAGGTCAGCAACAGTGTTTACTGAGGACGAGAGAGTTCTCAGTAGTTCATCTATGGACGAGAGTGTCCTAGATGAAAAGACACGAATTGAGCGATATGACTCCCGATCGTGGGAATCGCTCAAGACAAATCCTCTCTATGAAGATTTGGTTGAATTCAAGGATGTATTCCCTGAAACTGTTCCGTGCGAATTACCGAAGGATAAAGGTATTCGACACGAGGTCGAGCTTAAACCAGGCTCGAAGTACTGTGTCATGAAGCAGTGGCCACTGCCTCGTGAACAAGTACTTGCTATCGACAAGTTCTTTGCCGATCGTTTAGCTGCGGGCCACGTGAGGGAATCAACTTCCCCACATAGCTCTCCGACCTTCTGTGTGCGAAAAGCAACAGGAGGGTGGCGGATAGTGCATGCATTTAACAAGTTGAATGCTGCAACGGTACCGGCTCAGACGCCGATACCGAGGAAGGACGTAATCATTGATGGTATGTCAAAGAGTACCATCTTTTCGTCCATGGATTTGATGGATGGCTTCTATCAAATCCTTATGCGAGAACGGGATATACCCTATACCGCAGTTAGCACGCCTAGCGGCATGCTCTGGGAATGGCTAGTAATGCCACAAGGGCTCAGTAATGCCCCTGCCACGTTCAACAGATGTGTATCACATCTGTTGAGACCAGTACGAGAATTCGCACCGAGTTATTTCAATGACGTATTCATCCATAGTCAGGCTTTGGATGGAATGTCGGACGTTGAGGTTCACATATGCCACGTCCAACAGGTTCTTACAATCATGCGAAAGCATGATCAATTGATGCCAATCTCAAGAACTGTATATTTGCAGCAAGCAAAATACCACTTATTGGGTGCATCGTTGGTAAGAACGGTGTACGTCCTGATCCCGAAAAGATCAAGGCGATCACCGACTGGCCTGAGCCGGTTGATGTCAAAGGTCTTCGAAAATTCCTTGTGCTAGTGGCGTATTTGCACAAGTATTCACGCAATTACGCCGAGATGACTGTACACCTCTCTCGTTTGTTGAAAAAGAACGAGAGGTGGTTATGGAACGCTGAATTTAAGCGCTCCTTTGATGGTATCAAGCAGAGCTTGATACAATCCCCAGTCCTAGCAATAGCCGATCAGGACAGGCCATTTCATGTGGTCTGTGATGCCACAGATTTCGCAATCGGCTGTGCATTAATGCAGCACGATCTTGAAGGCGCTGAACGCATCGTCTGCTATCAGTCGCGTCAGCTGCAACCAGCTGAGCGGAACTATCCAGTGCATGACAAGGAACTCCTTGCCATGAAGTATGCACTCGCGAAGTTCAGAGTCTATCACAACGAATGGCGCGGTGGTTGTCATTCTTTGCAGAATACAACTTTACGGTCGAGTACAAACCAGGACGACTCAATGTCGTCGCTGATGCACTCTCACGTCGTCCCGACTTGAACCAGTCGTGAAACCCGACAGTAAGACAGTCACTGTTGCGGTTATGACGTCCTCAGTCCCATCTACAACGTTGTATGATGATGTGAGGCGGGCATACGCCCAAGATGGTGAGATTGTGAAGTTGTTGACAAATCTTTCACAGCCATCTCGAGAATCGTTGAAACGATTGTCGCCTGCGTATCGATCTGCATCAGACCGATACACTACTCGCGACGGTTTACTGCATTATACAGCCGTTACTGGTGACACACCACGTGTTGTCATCCCAGATGATACTGATATGTGTTTGCGGATCATGTTCGAGTATCACGATGCTCCTATAGGAGGACATCGTGGCCGGGAGAAAACATATCTCACGGTGAGTCGAGACTTTTACTGGCCCCGCCAGTATCAGTTTGTGCGAAAGTATGTTCGCGCATGCGAAGTCTGTCAACGAGTGAAGTCAAGTCCTTCACTGCGTGCACCTTTACAGCCTCTACCGGTTCCGGCTGAGTGCTGGGAATCCATCTCAATGGATTTCGTCTTTGGGTTACCCAAAGACGCACGCGGGAATACGGGTATCCTCGTATTTGTTGACAGATTCAGCAAAATGGTACACCTTGTGGCTGTACCAGAGACAATCACGGCAAGTGGCTGTGCTTGTGTCTTTATTGACACCATCTTCCGACTTCATGGGTTGCCCCGTGAACTCGTATCAGACAGAGATCCACGATTCACTGCTGATTTCTGGCGTTCCGTGTTCAAATCACTCGGAACGCGCTTGAAGATGTCTACACCTGATCATCCAGAGTCAGATGGTCAGACGGAACGTGCCAATCGTGTCCTTGAAGAGATACTTCGAGGATACGTACACTCCTTTAAGAGTTGGAGTGATTTTTTGCCAATGGTAGAGTTTGCCATCAACAACTCGGTGCATGCGTCCACGACACATACACCGTTTTACGTGAATGGCTTGCGCCATCCGCGTGTACCCACCTTACTAGAGTTTAACTCTGGTTTAAGGGGGGGAGGGACTCGCGCGAGCAAAAACCGAATTGGTTCACGCTCATCACGCTCTGACGAAGAAGTCATTGCGTTTGATGCCGATATCGATAATATCGATATCGAAGAAGATGATGCCAGTGAGAGTGCGGAAGCCCTCACTGAAGAAGATGATCCCAGTGAGAGTGCGGAAGCCCTCACTGAAGAAAAGGTTGATGTTGCTGCAGTGCGCTCACAGCACACTGAAGCTAACGAGTCATCAGATGAGTTCATACTGGCTCGTGAAACGGTAGTCCGTTTTGTGCAAGACTCCATCGCCGAAGCGGTGGATAAGCAAAAGAAAAACGCTGACAAGAATGGAAGGGCAAACACTCTTTTATTTAATAAAGGTGACTTAGTCCTACTGTCTACGGTTAATATAACAAAGCATCTAGTGACTAGCTTGGGTGGCAGTAAACTACTACCCAAGTACATCGGCCCTTTTCGTGTATTGCACCGCCTAGGCAACGCATAAACGATCGAGTTGCCACGTAAGATGCGAACGCATCCCACGTTTTACGTTGGTCGGCTTAAGCCGTCCCATCAGTACGCTGTTTCTTCCGATGAAGTACGCCCTTGCGCTCAAGCATCTCGCAGAGAGCCTTGTGCTCCCGATGGTGGGCATCGACAAGGGTCTGAAGAGCAGTTATCTCATCCCGAGACCGATCAATATCCACACGAGCTACCCTTAGCTCGTCACGAAGAGATGTCAGAGCTCTCTCGTTCTCAAGCTGAGCAAAGGCAAACTCAGCTCGATGCTTCGAGACAGTGTCCGCCATTTGGAGACGCCTGTCCCGCTCATGTTCGAGATCGTCGCGTAACCCTTGCGTTACGCGATAAAAGAAGCTCTCGGGAACACACGCTTCCTCACGATTGTGTGGACAGCGTCTTCCCTCCTCCTCCACCTCCATTAGAGGACTCTCGCGGTGGCCAGCGCTATCTAGTTGAGCAGCTGTTGAACCACCGCGACGTGAACGGACGTCGGACGAGTTACCTCGTCCGGTGGCGCGGTTATCCCCCGTCCTGGGATTCTTGGGAGCCCCGCTCCCAACTGATGATTGACGTACTGGGTCTGGTTGAGCAGTACGACGCGGCACATCCTGTGCCGCAGAAGGACCGCCGGAGAAAGTCTTCCCGGCACGGTCGTAAAGGGATTTCAGGTTGTCAATCCCTTCGTACATCTCGGTAGAGATACGTACGCGCCACCACGGGCTGGTAGGAAGGTAAGCCTCCTTAGGTGCTCGTGCAGAGTTGTTCACACAACATGGGCACGAGTCTCCCCAAGAGAGGCAGGGTAATCCTTTCTCCCTTGACAGACGATGCAGCTTGTAGCGTGCACCTGTCGGGGTCCGCTTTTCAAACTTATCACGAGATTTGATAAGTTTGTCGTTCCAAACGTCACGACCTACATCCTCAAGGTTATGGATGTGAGCGTTCCACGCTTGAAGTAGTGAGGGACCATCACGTTTGTGATTCCCACTGTACCATCAATATTTAAAGAAAGCATCGATAAATCATTCTCAGCGCGATAGTTTTTCGCACTGGAGTCAAGGTGATGGATCCTTGACGAATCGAACAATCGTGTTCGATAACGATCACTCGTCGTCGCCGACAAGTAATCCATGACGGATTTTGGAGGCATCCATGCCTTCTTTTTCGTCTGTGAAGACACGAGTGTCTTCATGACCAGCGCCTGCATCACCAAGTGACACAGGCTGGGTCGCTTCAGCAACCGATGAGGCATCGGTTGCTGTGGTTTCTGCTTCGGCGTCCGCTCAGAGACGTGCAGACGCGCTCTCGGCGGCCTTGCTCGCGCATCGCATGGTTAACAAGCCCATGCGATGAGATGTTGGAAAGTGGAATCGGACCAACAAGTGCAAACCCTGTCCCAGAAGATTTGGGACGAGTATCTATTTAGTCAATCAGTCACTAAAGTGACTGATAGTTAAGGGGGGATGTAACGGGGTGAATCGTTACATAACAATTTATTAGAAATTGTTAATAGAATATAACTAAAAGAGTCATATTCTCAGAATATTGTCACAAGGACAAATATTCTGCAACACTTACGAGTAGTTCCTAATTGGTTGATATAGGCCATTATATCAACCAACGAAGACGCGCCACGACAAGACGCACGCAATGAGTGGTGAGCAGATAACTGATTTACACATTTGCATTTAGACATAGTTAGATGAAGATAAATAGTGATTTATTGCAGACAATAACTATACTAAATACAGTTCTACTTTTTACTTTAACCAAGTACTCGCTTCTTCTTACCGTCTTCCTCTGCAAGTACGAGTATACGTGAAGTTACAAGGCACCACCTTATTCTGTCATCAGAATAAGTAGCTTGTACTGTCACCAGTACAAGCTTCAGGGTGCCCCGTTACACACACGGCGTTGGTACGATACCTACGGTGTAAAGGGGATACACGAAGTTGGGTACGTGGTACCCTGTGTCTTAGACACACGGATGATATCCCACTGAAAGAGATAAAGAATATCTTATCGGTTTTTAGGTGCTGATTGGTGTCAGCCACCAGATAGGAGAGACTTAGTTGTACTGAATTAGGACATAAGTGTCTAGAATAAGTAAAATCAGGATTAAGATATTCTATAGGTATAAATGTAAACAAAATTCAGTTCCCCTTTTGATCTTTAAGACACGTGCCTTGCGAGGCGTCTTTGGTCGTTGATCACTGATCACTAAGAGTTAGCAACACCTCCTTGAGGTAGCTAGTTACTCTTGAGCACTACGTGCCGTCGATCCACTGACTCGTTTGGTCCCCTGGAAATGGTACCAAAAGCTTTACGCTAGTTGAATCATTTTGTCCAGTTCTTTAGAACTAAGTTGCTCGTTAAACGTTAAGTATTCTATGACTCAAGGAGATGTGTAGCTCCGCGACATACATCGTCTACATACCTCATTCGTGAAGAAAATGCATCATACAGAGGAACTTGTCGAAACCGATACTGCCTAAACTTTCTACTTGGCTTAATTGATTTAATGTCCCTGTCCGACCTGGGACTGACAGTAGAACTGATTTTTTTCCGTAATTTGCGATCTGATAATTTGTTCTGACCAGTATATATAAAAACGTACTTAACAGCATCCAGCTTGATAAGTTCTACACTCGCATCACTCAAAGTCGTCAAAGTAGCTCTGGATATCCTTCAGTTCCTTTAAACGAGTTCTGATAGCCGTGATCTTGTCATTCTTCTGCTGCAGGGTTTGCACATTCTGTTTCTCGCGATTCGCCTGCTACAACCAAAAGATTCAAGCGCTTGAATCATCAGCTGCGCTTCAGAAGCCGGAATTGGAGGAAATGCTATGCAAACTTCTTCTTTCACAGCTACGTTGTCAGCCTTCATTATAATGTAGTCGTGAATGACCTCGTGTTGATCAGTCAGATAGGTCACTACAGCCTCCTCTGAGAAATTGAGAATAGTCCGGATTTTATTTGGGTTGTTGTTATGGAATTGTTAGATCAGTGAAGTTAAGGATTTAATCATCTCCTACAATAAGTTGTCCTCTGTATCTTTAATGGCGTTTGCTTCCTCTTGTAAGAGTATTAGTTTCTCCGGGCCGTGGATCCTGCAGTGGTATTAGCAGTTGGCGGTGTTCGTAATTTTGACCTCATCATTTTATGCCAAACCGCAATCCTGATTGCTCGCAGATTATTGATCTTATCGCGACTGGGTACCTTGTCTCTCGTTTTCTGCCAAAGTAGCGGTTTGAAGAGCGCGTATAACATACCTTTAAGTTCCGGATAAACTTAGCATCGCAAAGCTGCAGCTTTGACGTGGATTTTGGTTGAAGGAAGTAGACTGATGTGTCTTTTAGAAGGATGCAATCAGGAAGCTCAGAAAGGAGCACGTGTGCACTTTAGTTGTTTAGAATAAGAAGAACATGTCCGTAAATTTTCTGATCATTAAATCCTTAAGCCATTCACGGAAACAATCTGGGTCATCCACGCTTTTGCGTTGCTGCGGTAGGTACAACCCAATTTGTTAAAATTGATGTTCTTAAAACATCGTGGTTTCTTGAAGTGTCCGATGAGCCACAAATACGGCTTGTCAGAATCGTCCCCATTGCAGCAAACGGCGAGAGTGAGGCGATCTTTATGCTGTTGACGACTTTCCAGCCGCTTGGTTGCAAGGGGATGGTCGGCTTGAAAACACGAAAAATGGTCTCAATGTATCATGTTAAAAATCATGCAGGGGATCATATTGTACCTTATTACCGTAAAACAGTCCGTTTTGTCCATGTTGTATGCATCAGCAAGGGCGCACTTGCCCAAGACCTCCTAAATTTTGAGCCTATCCTTCTTATTAGCGCCATACTGATAGACATGCTTTGTTTAAAACGGCGATACCGAGGGATCTTATGACGGGCCTTGAAAGGATCAAGTCATCCAGAAGAAAATTCATAAGTGGCATGGTCAGGATGCAGAAGGTCCAAGATCTTCCTCGCACTCACCGTAAGTAGATCTCCGCACATGTTGACACAATCCTAATTAACATGAGATTACTCTGCCAAAGCCTCCTGTATCATACGAATTTACACTTTGCGCTGCCGCTTCTGGCTGAACTTGACGTCGTCTGCCAGTTTTAGCTGTTGTGCAGAGCGCTTGAGGGTAGCTGATCAGTTGACTGGGCTAACTTCGTGCTGTGCTTTTCAAAATCTATGCCCGGAGTTCTTTCTGCGCGACTTTGTGGTTGTCCCTTTCGTACTGGCAAAAAACAATGCAGATCTCACCCATCATTGTCGTGCGCTAAATTCCACGGTACGTCATGTTTAGATGTGGTGCGGTATTGTGTTAAGTAAAGCTGTAGATATAACTATCACAAGGTGAGCAATGTACTATAGGTAGAATTGAAGGTAATAAAGTGAAACTGCCATAACTGATAACTACACTTATCTGATAATTTCTCCGGTCCCAGCGCAATCAGCCTCGACAAGTTCTTCTGTAACACAGGAATAAACTGTGCCGTCTGTTTTCGGACATTTCGCTCTCTTTTGCCATATGGTATTTTAATACTGTGCCGTCTGTTTTCGGACATTTTCGCTCTTTTTTGCCATGTGGTATTTGAATAGTAAAAGAGCTGCATGACACGTAAATCGCAGTACTGTGTCGCGACATTTCATCATGCGCGTTCGTGATCGCCTGATGTAGGGACGTGCGGATGTGCCGATCGTTAAAGATTCTGCATAAAGCACTCTCGTGTGTGGTTGCTTTGCTCATACGTCAAACTGCCTTCTTACACATGACTTTCAAGCACGCACGGACCCTTGTTGATATGCGGGCCACATACGTGTGTTCAGCGCAGAGCAACGTTCCTGGAGCTGCCGTCAAACCGTTAAAAAGGCACAGCGGCGTCACAGCACGACACGCGTCACGAACACACGTCGTTGTCGAGAAGTCTAGGCTGTTCAATCGCAGTTTTGCGCTCCGGAATGAGTGAGAAATCTGACATTTGTGCGAGCATTTAGCTTGTACGCAGATACCACCGCAAAACTTCAGACTGCAACATCGACTTCAGTCGTCGTGAGCGCGCGGAACTGACGCTTTCACACCTGTCTTACTATCGTGCATTTGTGGTTGCGCATGTCGCATTCTGATCGTACAACAACAAGCATGACTTTTTCCCACCTATGTTGTGAAAGGCTCAGACGGCCACGCGAATCCTTGAAGGCCTTGCCCAGTTGACCACTTTTAGCTCTTTCGTTTGTATCACCAGGAATCATCATTGTTGTCAGACGTATTTCTTTTGGGCTGATCATCGATACTTCATGTGCAGGAGGGTAACAGGGTCACACGACAGTTACCGCCCTAACGAGATTTACCTTGTATATGTGTTATACAATCCCAAGTCTCCTCTGTGATAATTGATGTGGCTGATAACCTCAGTCGTCCATTGATGACAGATTGATGTGCCATCCATTAATCTGTAACATATCGAAGTGATTAGCTATGCGAAGTACTTTGACTTTAGGAATGGGTAATTAAATGAGATTTATCACACATTAAACTAAGATATAAAAGCTCAGCTGCCTTTTTTATCTTCGATCGACACATGTCTGATTTAGACACCAGTAGAATGTTAAGAGTAACAGACAGGTTGTGGCGTATACTCTAGAGCACATTGCGTACGATTCTTATAGTTGTTATTA